ACCAATACGGTAACACTCCGCTATTCACCGTTAACTAACGACCCACCCAAAATTGGTGGTTATCTTTCCCGGAATTTACCCTAGTGGGTAGATTTGGCAGAAATTTTTCCACGACGAACGAGTTGAAATGAACATCGCATTTGTTTGGCGCGCCGATGCGTGGCACCCGCGCTATAGGCGCGAGCGCCGAAACATCTCGCGGTGCTGAACTCGCTGAAAACTTCTCCTAGGGTGACCTTTTACTTTCCTGGTCACAAATATCACATTCGTTTTGCAAGTAAATGATCATGATACTCGCTCTCAGCGGAACAGGCCGCCTTTGATTGCGAGTTCTGGGCAACGCTGGTGACGTGAAATTTTGCATTTTAAATCAATTTTATTTTGTCTGCATCGATACACAATCCCCGAGATATTATATTTTATTTTATTTATATATTACTTACCATGGTCGTAATCAGAGGGGCGTTTTACTTAACATACATGTAGCGTGAATTGGCTCCACCACGCAATAAAGGTAGGAATGTCCTCGCCCTCAAGGTTGCATAAGAAAATCTGTTGAAAATTGTTTGAAATTTTTATATGTATTCCCATCTATTTTGCAAACATGCAAGCTTCAATAAGTTTCAACTCATCTATCGCGACTTTCAGCTGAAATTTTCTGGATACCCATGAGTATCCATAACATGGGCAAACTCTTGTGTACACCATTCAAGCTGAATAATCTCCATTAAACGTTCATTTACTGAAATAGTAATGCAAACAGGCTATCTTTAGTAGTGAAAAACATTCAGTGACACATTTCTAGGAGATCGCTTGGTTGACAATTCCTTCAACCATTCGTTCATCATGTTGCGACCACAAATTTGTATGCCTTCCTGACACGAAGCTCAAAGTTCACTTAAGGGTATTCCATAGACCAGGTCGCTGCACTACTATGGTGAGCAGTACGTCTGCCCCCGCGCTGCAGTGCGGAGACTAACCGGCAGAAAGACCTTCTGTTCTCTCCTAGTCAGGTCACCAGTATCATTCAAGCTAACTTCGGGCGTGCGCTTAAGGTTATCAGGCGGTAGTCTTAGGCTTGCTACTGACAATGTAAAGACTGACAAAATCTATCTGACCTGTAGGAGACTGAAACACGTCCCTAGTTGTGACGCCTAGGGCTCATTCCGGCTTAAAAACATGTTTTACGCGATTTTAAATGCATCGCTACCACAATCCCCCCGATATTTATAGTTTTATTTATTTATATTTACTTACATCTCGTATGCAGAGGGGCGTTTTTACATTAGCATACATGTGAAGCGTAATTGGACTCCACACAAAAAGTTAGGAAGTCCCTCGCTCCAAGTTTGTTAGAAAATCTTTGGAAAATTTTTGAAGTTTTTTATATTGTATTCCCATTATTTTGCAAATATGCAAGATTCTAAAAGTTTCAATTCATTCTATCGCGACTTTAGCTGAAATGTTTTCTGATACCCATGAGTATCCATAACATGGGCAAACTCTTGTGTACACCATTCAAGCTGAATATCTCCATTTAAGCTTCATTTACTGAATAGTAATGCAAACAAGTGGCTACTTAGTAGTGAAAAACATTCAGTGACACATTTCTAGGAGATCGCTTGGTAGAATCCTTCAAACCATTCGATTTCATCATGTTGCGACCACAATTTGTATGCCTTCCCTGACACGAAGCTCAAAGTTCGCTAATTGGTATTCCATAGACCAGGTCGCTGCACTACTATGGTGGGCAGTACGTCTGCCCGGCCCTCCGGCTGCAGTGCGGAGACTAACCGGCGAAAGATCTTCTGTTCTCCTCCTAGGTCAGGTCACCAGTATCATTCAAGCCTAAGCTTGGGCGTGGGCTTAAGCTTAGGTTCAGGCGTAGTCTTAGGCTTGCTACTGACGAATGAAAGACTGACAAATCTGATCTGACTGGAGGAGACCTGAAACAACGTCCCCTAAGTTGGCGGCCCACTACTACTGGCCTTATTGCTAACGATTCTAGTTGTTATAGCGTCGTTTAAGATTAATGAGAAATGTTCACGGCGGAATCCTTTTTCAAATTGATGAACTGCTTCAAATTTTGACCTGTCACGATTTTGACTTTTTTTTCTAATCATTGAGAATGAAACGATTGAGAATGGAGTTCAAAGTTGGAGTTCCAACGTCTTTGCTTTCCAACAAATACACTGCACGAAAAACTGTTTAAGCGATGCGCTTGCTCACCATTGCACTGTATTGAGGCAGTTTTCAACAAGAGCGTGTCCAAGCTCTCTTTGGTTTAGAAATTCAGCAATTCACCTTTCCTCATAGTGTCATGACGGGAAAGAATTTGGAATCGACGTATGGCTCATGGTGATCTAAGTGCGTACCCTTCGTTTCGGGAAACGAAAGAGCGTCGAGTGCAGACCACACACCACAAGTGACGACGATAAACGAAAAACTGGCTTTTTGCTTTTTGTCTGGGCCGTCGTAACTTGCGGTGTGTGGTCTGCATTCGACGCTCTTCTCATGCCCCGTAGTAGATGGTAGCAACAGTTTGTGACTCGAAAATCTTATCCAGAAAAGCTAAAAAGACTAAAAAAATTTGAAGAAGCAGAAAAATCACAAGAGGTGTGGAACAATTTTTTGTTCATGAGGGCAATTATAATTTAATTGTAGTTTGAAGGTTGTTTGAGAAAAATTCATGGGTCAACGGTTGTGAATCAGTGCCCGAACCTTTAACAAAGTAAGGTTTAGATAATAAATACTAGATAGTTGTATTTTTGAAAATTTGCGATGGTCTGACGGGACGGCCTAGTATTCTCCCACCTGAGAAGCAAGTAGTAGTTTTGTTTGTCAGCCTACTTTCGTGTTCCCTTTCATCAACAACCTGCTCTCTGCCATAAAACAAACCTAATGGCCCCATACATTTTTGAAAGAATCGATCCGTATGACCAGCTCGTGTGTTGCAGTACCCTTTCACAGTGTGAATAAGCAAGTTCATTAAGTCCTGCTCCGGGACTTCGATTTGACTGATGATGTGGTCTTTGAAAGTGCGCCGTACCATTAGTATTTCGGGACGGGCAATATGAGTGGACGGGGGCGACAAATTCGATGTTTGAGGTGACGTACGCGGATGTCAGTGGATTTGTCTCATTTCGATCTCTCTTTCGCTCTCTCTGCGTACTCGGAATTCAGTTAACTCAATAAGGAAGGAGTCCAGCGACCCGGCTCGGCCACCTACCATCCCCTAGGACGTTGTTCCTTCCGCCTTAACTTAGTCACTTGACACGATGCTCGTTCCTCATTAACTCCTAAAAAATTTTGCTTTCACAGAGCCGCTAGCTCTTCAGAGTTCACTCTGGGGTACTGTAGCGCAAAAGATTCACAGAGCTATTAGTCTTCTAGTGGCCAAGACCATGTGTACTTCGGCTGTCGTCTGGAGTAGTCCACCTGATAAACGCTCTTTCCTAGGCGATGCTATAGTGACTCGCATCAGAGCACGCAAGCCTTTCTAGTCCCGGTGGTACACTGAATCCCTCGATTGTTATTCATTATATCTATTATTACTCATTCTATCTCATTATATCCACTTGCTATCCTCATTGGAATTCCAGTTAAGGAGCCAAAAATCACAGAAATCTGGATAGACCAGTAGATGGACCCCTACGTGAGTCCTAGACAGCCTTGGTGTGGTGTAGTTTTGAAGTGACGGTTACCCATTTCAATTCTCTCTTAGCTGGTACTCTTTGTCAAGCTCTATTTTGCACAACAACCCATCCGAAATACTGAAAATGAGTTCCGTGATTGCGTAGGTTTCCTTTGTCAACTGTGCTGACGGAGAAAGATGACGCTGACGATTCTTTCAGGGTTGGAAATATTGAAAGAATGAGCAGATGTTTTGCTAATGCTGTTTAGTTGTAACGAGCAAGGCACCAGTATCCAAGGATAATCGCATTCAGGCCAGAACTGTCCAAAACATTGACACCTCTTGTGACAATTTCAGCACTAGACGTTCACAAGTCCTTGATTTACCCGAGCTCTATGGAGCTCCGCATGGGGTGATAAGCGAATTAGAACCGCTTCCTGGACAGACCTATTAGAGCGAGTACCCGAGCAAGACATGAGGGTCTCGGATAGTAGACTGTCCTTTCTCAGTCCATTGCGCTAATTTTGATTGCCCTTTAACTCGTTAGTCCTTTGCAACTATCCGACGTCTATCGTGGGGACCCTGGGACACGAGGGCGTACCCTGTGACTGCCTCTAAAAGGCGGTCCCAATTATTCACTAGAATTCCACATGTAAATGACTTATTTTCGACACCTAGTGGGTTGGATGTGCCATTGGGCCCGCCCTTTATAACGCTATCTATCGTTAGATTGGGTCGGTGGTTGGTCATGGTTAGTGACACATCGGGCGTTGAGGAATGCCAATTGAGGCTATCCGCCACGAATGGGCGGTGCTTTTGCCCTCGATTGTTTCATCTTCTACTTCATTCATAGTTTGTTGTGGCTCGCTTAGTTTCTCACTCACCCAGTAGTCGCCCCTTGAACCCTAAATCTACCCTACACACCTAGCGATGCATACTGGTACTGTACTAGAGCTATTGTAATACAGTTCGCTAGTAGGGCTAGCAATCATTTACGACTTCATCTTTCCCTAAAATGTAGGGATTTTGTGAGCTAGCAGTTCAAGAATTATGAGACTTCTGAGGTGTGGCGTGGTGTTACAATCATTTCCCCATCGCACTTCATCTTTCATCCATCATGTTGTCCTCCTTGCTTATCGCTTTTGTTGTTTCCGACAAACATTCCAAGCGCATATTCGCTACAAATTAATTTCATGACGCCAATAACAAGACCTTCCTTTGTCTGAAATCACTCTGTACCTCTACGATACTCGTTTGTTCGTTGTGGGTGGAAAATACGAAGTTTGTCCGGAATCATAATTTCTCCGAATCACCAGAGTTCAATCATTACAGTATTTCAGTGATAGCTCGACATCGGGTTTCTCACATGCTGATTTTTCTGACTCGTTGTGTGGTGAGTTTAAGTTCATTGCTGAATGACCTTACTGTGGAGTTCCCACTTCAAAGCAGGGTCTAAAAAATACTGTAGGGGACTGATGGGTTCACTCAGGGGTCTTATCCAGTAGGGGGGCATGTGATACGACATGAAGTAATTCAGCTTTTACAGGGGAGAAACTTCCGGTTGACAAGCGTTCACCGAGGAACTCGTTCACTTGCAAAAATTGAAACATTGCTGGTGACAGCAGATGTCACACCATATGCCCCCCCCCAAGTGAATGAGACCCGCACTCAGTCTCAGGAGCGGCAGAAATTCGGCACGGTGGGGAGACACTATAATACTAGGCATAAGATGACACAATAGCTTTACTGGCCGAGTTTGCGTGAAGTTACGGGTACTGTGTTCTAACGTAAGGTTACGTGCATTGTGTACGCCAAACAATAGGGAGTAATTAATGACACTTAGTGGAATAGCTCTACTCGTGTTATTTTGCACCTAGTTTACGAAGGGTAATTGAGACTGGGTTGAAGTTGTTCCTTGCCCGAACACCCTCCAAATAGCTCAGTTCCAGCTCAGCTATTTTTAGAAACAATGTTGTTCTGTTTTCTTCGTAGGGGCAAAGAGAGTTGCTGTTGTTTAAAGCCGCTTTTCAGTTAATAGTTGGACTCTCGCAGCTCGTCTGTAGCGTGCAAGATGCGACACATCCACCACCAGCGTTAGATGACTTAGAAGGAAATGGATTCGGCGGCATGATGAGGGTGTCAAGTAAGTTTGAAGAACGCCGTTTAATTATATTTCCACAGAGCTCTTGAGATGGAGCGAAGACGCTCTAGACGCACTGGATTTCAAGTATACTCCCGTGTATCATGGAAAGGGTTGAGCTATATTGGCTCAAGACGAAGCACTAATAAGTCAGAGAGATAAGAGGCACAGCGAGGTTTCCAAAAAGCCTTAGTTGGTGAATGATTCTCCTCAAATTAATTTACTCCTATGAGTGACAAACACTGAAGCTCCCTTCACAAACTCCCACTCGAGAACTTTTGCACAGCGAACGTTTTTTAGCCCTCTGGATGGTATTGGCCTCGATGGGACTTGAAGAAAGAGTATGTAAGAAAAGTCACTGCGACAACGACGGGTACCTTCTTCGTGTGGCGTGTACACTGAAGCAGCTGATTCCAGGTGTTTGTTAAGAGTGGGAACTGGGGAGCCAAGAGAATATACGAGATATCATATGCATTGGATAAGGGATGAGGAAATAGTCGAAAATTGGCGAGTCGTATCAGCTGCGCGCACTGCGGCAAGCCCTAACTTGCGCGTTATTGCGCGTTGGTGACTTAACTGCGAAGCTGCCCTAGTGGACAGTTAGGGCTGATGTAGAGGCGAAAGAAATTCTGTAGCGATAGTTGTGGTCGATAGCCTTGCCAGGTTTTTGAAATTCGCTTTGGGGCAAGATGTGACTCCGGTTGCAATCCTGTGAGCCTTGATGAAAACTCATTTTCGTGTCTGCTGAACCAATTTAGTGCTACTGATGCTTCGAAATGTTCTTGCACTTGCGTATTTGGTTCTTCTTAGGTCTAATTCTAAAGCGGTATCATTGCCTCTGTTACGCGGTTAAATGTTTCGTTCTTCTGGCCATTCCTTTTTTTAGACCTCTCAGAGAGGATGAATTTCCTTTCTACGAAACCTACCGAACACTTGGCGTGTTCACGCATTCAAAGCGAGTAATTTAACAATTAAAAACCTTTGGAGTTTTATTGAGAAGTGAAAAATTATTGAAAATTACGAAAAAGTTACCAAAGTTGTAACAGCAATTAAGGGCCGTGTAGAGAAGTTGTGAAAGGAGGACACAATTATTAATAGCAATTGCTTGTTTAGTACGAGTTTCGGCACGAAAACGGATTTTACAGGCTTCGTGATCATTGGAGATTCTTCAAGCCATTGAATCCTTCGGTTGAATTGGAATGCCTTTATTCATGGTTCATTAGTAACCAGAATGCAGTACAAGTCATTAAGCATCCAAAGGAGAGCGCACGGGGAAATTACCCCGATTCCTTTCGAAGGGGCACAGGCATTCGGCGGTAGGCCATTTATTAGGCCCTTTTACAGCCTCGGATTTAACCAGGATATCATTTATGTATAGTTTCCAGGCATATCGGAACAATGTAACAATCGCGAATCAAAATAAATGAGGGAAAGGGAAGCCAAGCAAGATCGCTTCACGCAAAACGAGAACACTGCGCTCCCCGTTTTGTGTGATAATGATAGGCAATCGATAGCGCGCCTGCGCAAGCAATCGATAGTAAATAATCATTAACGTGCCATCTTTTAATACCTATTTTGCTACAGATTTCGCAGTTTGCTATGAATCAGAAAACGAAAACTCGTGAACTCGCCAGTTTACCCACATTTCGGAAATTTCCAAAGAACACCTTGTCCCTGTTTCCACGCGGCAAATGCCTGAAAGCCATCGCTGTGTCAAAAACCCTAATGGCTCGAAGCTGGAAGTAAATTTGTTAACCCATTTTTCGAAGTTCTAATTCCTTATTGAATCTTTTCGATATAGCTATGAATGGCTTGTAACTTGCGCAAGATGTAACATGCGTAGAAGGACGCAGCTTATCCCTTTATAGCACCCCGTTGCCCCGTAGAGCGAAAAATTCCAGTGTAAGATGGATGTCGCGCTCGAAGCTTGTCGCGCAGCTTTAAAATGGTACCATCACCCCTATGATTAGGTACTGATGTTGATCCTGATGCTAACTCGGTCAACTGGAAGAATTTTCCTAGGAATCTAGTTGCAGCCTGTGCCTTTAAGCTTGTCCCTTATTGAAGATATGTCTTTTTTTCACAGAAGTAGGTCGTGGTGTAATTACTGTTGAAGCGCATGGATTTCCTAGTTAAGATACCAATTCCGTAGAAGGAAAAGCTTTGCATAAGCGAATTTTCGGACAAGCTACGGAAGCGCGGCAAAAAACCCACCCTGGCCAGTATGCCTAAATATCTTCAGGTCACGTGACAGCCCATCCCATGGAATCCTCTGGTTATGCTCGCTATTATCCTCCATTAAAGCACCACGTGGTTAGGACAAAAGCTGTTCCGAAATTTTTGGGGTGAATCGAGCATAAAATAATTTTCTTTTCAAAAATTTATCAGAACGCCCTCCATCCTTCACTCTAATCGCTCTTTTAGTGAAGCGCATGTGTCCTACTAAGTTATGGCCATGGCATAACATGTAGTTCTTTTGCTCGAGTTGGACCATGCTATTGTACTTCACTAATTATTCAGTAGTGAGTGGGTGTAGTGCAGGAAGTGCAGGGACCCTACCCAGCGGCTGATAACCAGAGACGGAGGGGCATTTTTGGTTAGTTGTCTCTCGCCTCAAGTCAATTACGTCGTGGTAGATTACGCCAAGCATCGTTAATTTATGGTGGTTTGAGGAATATTGTTCTGTTCAATGTTGTTTCCGGAGTTTCATGCTGATCTATGTGTGAACAATGTGAGACTCTGAAAAAAACTATTTATTACAAGAGGCTCAATTTTTCAAAAAAGGGTTGGAAAGCGTTGCAAGATCTTTCCATAAATTAAAAGTAGATTTAGCAAGCTTCCGCTTCTTAGCGCCTTTGTCAAGCCCGAAACACGAAAACCGAGCGAGCTGAATGAAAACTGTACTATCTGATCTGACTAACCTGCTGCCGCTCACTAGTATGAACTCTTACCGAACACTTCTGTCCAGCTGAGCGAGCTATTTCCTGCACTAATCTTACCGTCACCGCGATGAGTGAGAGCATCTTTCTAACTTGGCTATTTGTTATTATTGTCTGGCCTATTTTCGTACCCAGCGCCCACCAGTATTTTCCTACCACCTTACTCTTTAAAATGTAAAAATCGGTTTAGACCTGACCCTAAACAGCAAGGGCCTCCGTACTATTTTGTCTGTGCTTCGTGGAAAACTATCCCTGGATTGGAACCAAGAATTTTTTCGCAGCCCTTGATTTCCCTCCAAGCCGCTTATGGGATCCATTTGTTCTCCCAACCTATTTTTCATGCATGCCCTGCCGCTCTATTGATAAAGACAGTAGCATTCAGTTGCTAGAATGCAGCCCTTTTTCAGTAACAATTACAATCGAAACATCGAGATGAAAGAAAAAAAAAGATTTTTGAACGCTGACCATCAGTCCCTTGATCCTATTTCGCATTTCAATAGGAATTAAATCTGATGAAACCTCTTCTTGTTGTGCATTTTATGCACTCTTATATCATTTTGAAGGGAAATCAGAATAAATTAGTGAGAACTTTAACACATTGACGACCGCGCGCGTTTATTGGCTTTTTGCCCGTGGGAACCGTGGTCCGAATTTTGCGAGTGCGACCGCCGCACCTCCGTTCCGTTGAAATTTTTATTGATAACTTACAAGCACCAGTGGTACAGCCAAACATCTCAGTGACAGTCAATGCGTAGAAGTAATAAGATACCTAGTGACGAAGTTCGATTAAAGAACATGTCAATGTAATGAAAAGGAACTTAAGTCATTTATCTGTAGTGATGCAAAAATCTACTTTTGATGTTAACACAAATGAAACTTGTATTTTTTTCTTCTTATGACTGCATTTACTTCACTACCCTTTTTATATGACCAGTGTTCACGGAAAAAATATTCCATGAAAACTATTAATGAACCAACCGCCGGTTTCGGTGAGCTTGAAAACTTCTTCCAAACTGAAGCCATATTATGAACAAACAGAGCCAACCTATGTCGTTCACAATAATGTACGTTCATAATTCATAGAAAGCAGGCAAACAAGTTCGGAACCAAGCTGCGCATGCCCCTAAAAAAAGATAAAGGTGAGACACGTCAACCGCTCAAATGTCCCACGAGGTGCGCAAAAGTGAACGTGTTGTGGCTCCGCTCATACGCGTCCTCAATGTCGTCAATGTGTTAAATTTTTGAAAGACTGTGGAATGACCCGTCATGGAGAAAAAAGAAAAAAATTGAATCCCATGCCATACAACTTTGCCCTGTCGCTTGGAAAGTCAAAAGACCGCCCAGGTGAATGATAAAATAATGGAGCGCGGAAGCGGAAGAAGACCGAGCAGAAAACATACCGCAGACCAACAATGGTGGCGCTTGCAGAGAAGATATCGACGATGGCGGAGCGTTCTCCAACTGGTGAGCGGTTAGTCTTACGCCTAAGCGTCTAAGTGACGCCTTCACATCAGGGTAAGTTGCGCTCTCTGCACTTTCTACCTAGCGCTTCTAGCTCACAGTATAGCTCACTAATGTCCGAAGCCCAAATTTCCATTAAATAACATTGAGCACCCATTAAGCTTTGCCTAGGGAAAAGGATCCTGGCTCCTCGGAATGTTGGCCCTTTGTACATTATTTTCCTGAAATCCAACTAGTGTTCGTTCCACTACCTTTGCCTTCCCCTACCCACCCCCCTCCCCAAAGTGTGCAGCAGTCCCATTGTGCAGGTGGGCAACTAGGCTTCTGTGGAGCTGTGAGTGTTCAGTTCGGAGAGAGAGGTTGCTGCGGAGCCTTGGCTTTTCTGAAAAATACTAGTTTTAGTGCTAAATTCTCATTGAAATTATTTAAGGTCGCAGGAAGCGTGCCCTTGATGGTCTGGACGGCGATGGCTTCGGCGGCCTCTTTAAGAGGTCTCTGAACTCACTTGACGGTGAAGGCTTCGGATTTGATAAGAGAGCTCTGAATGCTCTTGATGGCAGTGGTTTCGGTTTTGACAAACGAGCATTAAATGCTCTCGAAGGCAGCGGATTCGGATTTGACAAACGAGCACTAAATGCTCTTGATGGCAGTGGATTCGGATTCGATAAGAGATCCTTGAACTCAATAGAAGGGACTGGTTTCGGATTTGACAAAAGATCACTGAATTCATTGGAAGGAACGGGGTTCGGCTTCGACAAAAGAGCTCTGAACTCAATAGAAGGAACTGGTTTCGGTTTCGACAAGAGGAGCTATCCCAACTTCGTCAGCAGTGAGTTTCATTTTAATTCGGTTTTCTGCCAATTTTTGAGCTCTCAAATTTCTCGTTTCAGCTCATCCCTATCTGAGACTCTACAAAGGCAAGCAAACCCGGAGGTACAAGGGTGACCGAAGCAACTCCAACGGTCTTAACACATGTGAGCAATCAGTTTTGAGAAGCCTCGAATCCAATTCGTACTATTCCTGGTTGCTGTGTAATTGTTCGTTGGTCAGCTTGCTGCTGAATATAGTAGATTAGGTCACCAATCAACATAATGGTCCACTAGAAGGACAAAAACAGGCCGAATATCGACCAAGCCGTGTTCGGTCCACGAACCAGGATAAATTCGAAAATAAAATTAGACCATTCGCTAACCCCCAACATGAGCCAATTACACCCCAAAAACCACGTCCTTCAGCTGACCTTTCCTCAAAGCTTTGATAACTTCTAAGTACCATTTTGACTCTATGTAAGGTTAAGCCTCCCATTTATCCTATTCTCTCTAGTCTTAATTTCACATGTCCTTAGCTTCTAGACCTTCTAAAGTTATGATATCGTAGCCACCTCTCACTGCAATTGTTTTGAGTTTTGCAGAAGTTCACATTACATCTCAGAAATATCATCAATCAATAATTTTCTTTCAATAACTAAATAGGGTTACTGTTATGAGGGTCTGGGAAAGCCGCTAGTGAACAGCATTAACACGTTGACGACAGCGTGATGTGGTAACGCGTCCCACTTTCCCACCATCCACTCAAATTTTATTAAAGAAAAATCTCCTGTCTCTTCTGCTGATGCGCAAACCGGCGCGGTCGCGAATGGGTTAATCATATGTAAAGATTCAAGCTGTGCCATAGACGCCCAACCTAGAGCATCATCCCAACCGACCAAAGACTGGTGCGACATTTTGTGTTCTCTCAGTTCTCAACCCTTTCGCTACTAGTTTCCACTATTAGTGAATCACTTACATTTATTGCTACAACAAAATTCAAGAAAAATGGTATTCGCTCGAAAACATGTTTTGCAACCGTACCCCTATTTAAAATACCTACCTGAGCATTCTTCGTCAGCCCATTTTACATGCTGCCCTTATGTGCCTATTACACTCAATTATTCTAGGGCGCCTATTTTTGAGCTTCCTTCTCATCCACTTCTACTTAGGTCTTTCAACACGCCAAACAATCACATAGACACGAGCATAGCAGATAAGCGAGGGCACCTCCTTACCAATCATCGGTACCATCTCTATTCCGTGGGTGAGTGGTCTTTTTTCTATTTGATAGATGCCTCACATTCCAATATATTCGAGCTGAATAACATAATAACTTGACTGCTCCTACGCCAGCGCCACTGATGGTTGGATGCTGATATAGAGTATTCCGCTGTTTGTCAGAGTGTACCCGACTGTGTTAAAGATGACGGTACTGTAACATTTCCGATAGAGTTCTGAGTGAGAAAACATTTTGGAACATTTATTTGTGCTTCACATGAACGCGTGCCCGAATCACCACTCTAACCCGATCCAGACATCCCCATGTTCCTTTTGAAATTCCTAGAGTTCTTTTCAGGCCGATCATCCTTATCACACTACCAGTGTTGCAGACTGATGAGTGTGCTAGCAATTTAAACAAAGAACAGTAGTCTAGCTCAATCGATTAGGGCTTTCTGACATCAAAAGGTCACAACTTCCCTAAGTCCGAAATATCTGAAATGTTGTGACACGTGGAAGAACCCTGTGCCTGTAAATCGATGTCCAGAATATAGGTTAGTGTAGAATGGCAAACGTGACGAACAGTGCAACGTGTTCAATTGAAGCAAAGCAGCGTAAGTCCCTGGCTTTTTCCGTTCGAATCCCCCACCTTTGGTAGTTTATCACATCAAGTCGTTGACATCTCAGGCCTAACAGTTCTTCAATTTGTTTGTGTGGCACTATCCTCAATCACTCTAAGGGCAACTCTTGTTTGCTCCTAGCACTCTTTCTTCGAGAAAAAAATTCAGGCTAAGTGCATACGACTGAAACCCGACTTCGCAGTCTTCTGCGTTCAATGACCTCCGCAGTTTCATAGGAAAGACAGCAATTAATTCCCAAACAGCAATACATATATAGATGACAATAGGTGCACATTTGTATTAAGCAAGGAACTTTGAATAAAAAGGGAAAAAAATTTTGATTTCAAAATTACCCAAAGTGAGAGCTCAATGGGAAACTAACTACGCACCTTGTTACTGGATTTATTGCCACATGAATACTATTCTTACTACCAGGGTCCGATAGAATGGTTTCGGCCTAATCAATCACTGAGAAATTTCCCATACGTCCTTAATTGATATGTCCCTGCAGTGACACTTTCGTCCGTCAGAAAGGTGGAACTGGTATGGTTGTTGAACATTAGTTTTCAGTACCTTGGTACGGACGCTGATTACACCAACCACATAGTCGACTTAGAGGCAAGCTTTTCCTTCAGCAGGTACTGGTATCTCTGACGAAAAGGTTTCCTCACCATACCAAAACTGAGCGTGAGGCAGGAAGTGAAGGAGCTTCATAAAAATATAGAAAGATAAAGCATGTGCTGCTTGATCGCCCTTTTGGGATGCGCACGTCATTCCGCTCTGTTCATACATTTGTTGGGGCAATGAATGCGGTTGGCCTAAACAATTACTGGGGAGGGAGCTAGTCGAATTTTAAATTCAGTGTTATTATCCTCCCCGACTGTCTGGTAATATATGACCAACAGACAGGTGTGTGGCCCAATTTGACGAGATGCTAACTAAAACGTAGTCAAGGAAGCTAGACAACCAGGCTATTCCTCCAAGCTGTCATTATTGCTGACAGGAAAAATTATAACTTTCTATAATAGCTTGCCAAAAGCCTCACCCCCAATGCTCCATCTCAATAAAAAGAGTCCGGCTCGAGAACTTCAGGACATTTTCCGACCTGATTAACGTGGCGCGCGACGAAGATGATTCCTCGATGAATATCGTTTAGAGTGAACTCACTTCATCATCAACAAGTAGGGGCACTTTTGGCTGAGGACGGTGGACAACTGACGATAGATGGAAAATTCGTGAATGGTACGAAAGGCAACAAAAATCTTTGGTTTGCGCTTTGCGAATAAACATGAGTTTGTGTCTCTACTTTTTTGTCAAAGGATACTGCCAAGCCAAGCGAAGGATTCACCTGGAAGGTGTGCTGACTATCACTTTCCTGGACAAAATCCACAAGGGTCCGGACCGGCTCGTGTTTTGCAGGTGCAGCTTTTCTGCTTCAACACTTCTAGAGAGGAAGCTTGCTCATCAAAGCAGCACCACTCAAGACCGCAGCCCAAATAAGGAACACTGCTTTACTTTAGACCGACTGTCCAGGCTTTTGCGAATCGGCGCGATTCGCTAACTAGCGATTCGCTAGCGTCCGCGATGGCGTTGCGGTACCAGGCCAATTGAGTGATTCACTGGCCGCCTGACGCGCCGCGGACGCTAGAAGAATCGCGCGATTCGCAGTTATGCCGTCGGCCAGAGAAAGTCATGTTTGGAGCCACCTACTCGTCCCGGAGGCGCAGCCGACTGAAATACCTTTCGTCATGACTAAAGCTAAAGCTTGGTCCGAAAGAGACAATATCAAGAGTGAAGCCGAATTGTAATAGCATTTCATCGTAAAGCTTCGACTTCAGGACACGGCTCATTTCATTGCTTTTTACAGTTCTTTGCAAGGCGGAAATCTGAAGGTATGGGTAATTTTTGGCTGTTCCTTGGAATTTCAGGGCCCGCTTTTTGAACAGCATAGTATTGTTTTTAGTATACAGTCATTTGAAAATGAATACTGTGGACTGTCAGAGCATGGCTATTCGAATTTTGTAAAAAATGGTAAGTAACAGCTTTCAGATAAAATGTTCTTTATACACAATTAATCAACTAATTTCAGATCTTCACATCAACAAATTTCACTGATCAATTGCTGGCTCTCCGTAACTGTGGATCGACAACTCATTTGTAACGTGGAGAAATAATTTCATGCATAAAGATTGTTATTGTTGTACCGCTTCTTCTTTCATTCAAATCAATATTTCTAACACATGACAAGACGAGAACGATGATGATGTTGATCCAATAACATTCCATTTTCGGAAAACTGACCGCATAACGGTCAAACGAATTGTCATTGATAATGTCCTTTGTTTGTCGGTAATAATATTTTTGTTGTTGCCAAAATACTAAATGCGCAACTAATTCACCATGGTAGCCAATTAACCAACGATATCAACAAAAATTTGTTATGATCTTAGTGTCAAATACTGGGACAAAACATTGATGGCATGACCCTTAGGCTGAAAATGAGCTTCAGAAATCTGCAAAAATTCCAAATTCACGGGCATGTTCGAAGTCGTGTGTGTGCCATGGCAAGGAGAGTTGCCAAAAGTGGAGATGGATAGTAAAAGAGGCGATTAACCTGGTTCAACTTAATCTCTTCGTCGTGAGTTTAAGTCGCATATCCTTCTACTCGTTTCGTAAATGACGCTATACGGTAACTACAGAAATTGCCATTTTAGGTTGATGTTCAATGCTCTCAATCCTTCATTGAATGCTTGTCTATAACATTCGGGGTCTCTATACAAGACGTCAGCCAACCAGCCGCTTTTTGCGCTGTTGGCTGGGACGCAGAGATATGCAAAGAATGTTGGGCAGGTGGGAGTGAGTCCACGACGGTGGACACGGGACCACTTCAACTCGGTTTTATTGAACCGGCCATATTGTGCTCAACAATAGAACATAGCCTTAAAAGAAGGACGCGTCCGTCTCCTCCTCAAGGCCGTGAGCCCTAGGAGTGAAGCAAACCATCTTCTGGCAGAGCTGCATGGACTCAGCGCTAGTGTGAATACAGTAGTCATTTCTATGTAGCCCACGAGGTTGAAGAAAAAAAAAAAAATAATAACCAAAATAAAAAAAGCCCGTTCGACCGTTGGCGGGACCCTGTACGCCATCCCCCCTCCCAACATTCACGCATACGGCCCCGGCCACGAAACGTCCAAAAGGGCTGTTTCCTTTACCCCTTTAGCAAGTAGTGGTGGGCACGCTCCACTCTCACTGATGTCCAAGTGACCTCGCCCTCTGCCCCACCTCCCCCCCCTATGAATTGACTAACTTCTACCCCCCCTGGCAACGAATTCCCCGATTATTGTGACAGTATACGTAGCTGCGCAGTAATACAATCTACATACGTTGCGAAAATTGCAAATGCTAGGGGTTTGGTAACAGACAGTCGTATTTCTTTCGAAATGCCGCTGGCCCACCCTCCTGTATACACCGAACGCTCGGTCTTGCTGGCGCTAGTTTAACTAGGCAGGTGAATAAGCGAAATAAGTAATGTCACAAATCGTAGGATCGCTCTTTATAGAACGCCCTTAGCCGGTGACCAAAGCGAGTGCACTTCAGCTTCCTGTCGTTCGCGACGCGTCAGCCTGGATCTACATATGATCCTATTGGTGAACTGCCCCGGACCACTCAGCCGATGAGCCGTATATCGATCTGCATCCCATTC